TATAAGCTCTATCACCTCTACCTTTATCTGTGCTAAATGCCTAGTTCACAGGTCATTTCTTCTCTTTCATCCATGAAAATTTTAAGGCACTCAGCTCTGTTCAAGAGGGTCAGGACACAGATTTGCATAGATCAATGGCATGGATGTGTAGCTTACTTTTTTGTGGGGTCACTTCCCTCTGCTTCAGTCTCTCTCATTAGCCAGAGACAAAGAGGGTGAGAAGGACCAGGCAAGTTGGTAGTCAGCAGAATGTAATACACCATACAGTAGAAAGCAGATTCATAATTTTAAAGGTGGGAAGTGGGAACAATGCTTTGAATAATTACATATGTACTGTTTTCACCAAAGTATAGTTCTGCGTTAAACTTTTAGCAACCTCTCATGAAAAACCACATATATATATTAAGCATAGCTTGAACATTTTTAGCACTGCAGAAATCCTGCTACTATAGTTTTATTCATCTTGGAAGTATTTAAAAAGAAAATTCTGTTATACAGGTGAAACTCGAAAAATTAGAATATCGTGCAAAAGTTCATTTATTTCACTAATGCAACATAAAAGGTGAAACTAATATATGAAATAGACTCATTACATGCAAAGCAAGATAATTCAAGCCGTGATTTGTCATAATTGTGATGATTATGGCTTACAGCTCATGAAAACCCAGATCCACAATCTCAGAAATTTTTTGGCAGTGTGGGCAGGTGCCAAGTCCTGCTGGAAAATGAAGTCAGCATCCCCATAGAGCTCGTCTGCGGAAGAAAGCATGAAGTGCTCCAAAATCTCCTGGTAGACGGCTAAGTTGCATTAGTGAAATAAATGAACTTTTGCACGATATTCTAATTTTTTGAGTTTCACCTGTATAGCATTGTCCCAATCTCCAGTCACCTCTGTGTGTTTGCTTACAAAATTATGGGCCTCTGCAGTACATTGTTAAAGTATATATTGTCCTGTTTTTTGGCCCAACGGAGCTTAAAAAATATAGCAGCTAATTGAGTGGGCTGAAAGTACACCAGCAGGGATTTGTAGAGGAAAAAAAGAGATTTAGTTTATTGGTATCCAGGATTTGTATAACTGCCTGAGACTGTAGTTCTTTAAGCGGTAGTTTTATGCTTCCAAAATGTTGATGTCTGGGAATTGTACAAGTCTGAATGTTTAACTTTGAACAAAACACAATCTAGTGTAAAAAGAAGCTTGGCAGCAAATCGTGTATTTGTTTGAAGATGGAGCTAAATTCAGGAGTCTGGGGAATGTATTCATCATGGAATTTGTAAGAGCACTTTGACACTTTTGTTATAAGCTGGTATGAAATTTTCATAAAAAAGCTGACAGCTAAACCCTCTAAGTTAAATTAGTGACTGGACTGAATGAAAAAAAAAATGTGATAGGGTTGTAATAAAAATATCAGATTCTTCATGTGTAATTTTATTACCAGTGTCCCTTAGGGCTTAGAATTAGTGTCATTGATTGTCCCGTTATATTATTGACAGCATCATGCTTCACTTACCTTAACAACGCTACTCAGTAGATCTTGTGCCTGAGATTGCTTACATCCTTCATGTTGTCTTGTGCTAAACACAAAGGACATAATTAAACTGCAGATTTTATTCAGGGAGTATAAAAAATGTCATGTTATATAAAAAATGTACTGAATCACCAATGATGGTTATTGTAACATGCATTGTATTTGCTTGTATTTTAGCACCTCCTATATTTTACATCTTTAATTTCTTATATGTTTAACATTGATGTTTCATGGTCTACAGAAGAAGACCACCATGTTTCTTAGTTTTGTCTTCCTAAATAAGCCTAAATATAGGCTATGTTAAGCAGCACAATAATAGATATTGTTGCTCACACTGTAAATAGAGGAGAGATCAGCATTCTCCTACCTTGTGATCTCCTCTCTCTAAAGGCAGAAGTGATGTGTATTACATCACTTCTGCCTTTAGCTGTCAAGTAATGACATTTAAGCTGGCCATACACCTTACAATTATCTGCAGATTTTCTGTGGCCAGATGGAAAAGGGGCAACAGATTCCTCCATCTACATTTAACTGTGTGGATGGAGTACTCTCCACCTGGGCCAATCTGTTGCACTTTTTCCATCTGACCACAGAAAATCTGCAGATACTTGTAAGGTGTATGGGCACCTTAAAAAAGACTTGGGTATTTATGCAAGTTGTATGTAAAGAACCTTGAACAAAATGTCTTTTAGGTTTGGTTGGCAGTCTTTCTCTTTGTGCATTTACCACTGATGAAATGTCTCAACACTGTGTTTTTTTCTATTTCTGTATAGTCAGTAAAGGGTAAAGCAAGCTGCAATAACAGTAAGCCAAGTTCCTTTTGCTGTATAGTAAAGCAATTTCATTTTTTTAACTTCAGCTGTTGTTACACCCATGTTGAAACTACCATCACCTTATATAAACCTGACCTCCTTTTAGTCTGACATTTACACAAACTATTTCCCATTTCTGTAAACCCATTTTGGATCTTTAGTTTGACAAATAAAAATCCATTGCATACAACTTGAAAACTGTCAAGTAGGATAGTTTTCTGTGTCATTTAGGAAAGTAGTCTTTATGTAAAGTTCCTGAACTCTGTACAGCATTAAGAAAAATGAAAACCATGTGTTTGAGTGCATTTGCTATTGCTAAGGTCAGACATTGTGCATGTAAATGAGAACAATGTGCTGCATTTCATTTCAACATTTCTCTTAGACGGTTTACAAGAAGGCATTTATGTGTAATGAAGGTCCTACATCCAGGGGGATTTATAACTTCCAAAGAATGGTAATTGAAGCCAATGTTAAACGTACTTTATCATTCTTTTGTACAAACAAAAAAATACAGAAGATAGAGGCCAGAACATAAAAGATACATACCAGTGCCTCCGTATAACTTTGTTATATCAGCATTCAGCTTTTTTCAGTGGGTCAATAAAATGAAAATATATCATGTTTGTATTATATCTTTTTATTATATCTTTTTATTATATCAACCTATTAAAAAAAGCCAAATGCTGATATAAAAAAGGTATTTTTAAGGTACATATACTTTTTCTGCTAGTTTTATATATAACATATACACTCTAAGAGCCCACCATAGATTCTCTAGAGTGGGCTCTGCAAGGTCTCAGTTGGGCTGCACGCCTCTTACCTGTCAACGTTGTCCGTGGTTGCCAGGCCCCCGCCTCCTCTTCCGTCCCGGGGCTCCGCCTCCTTCTATCGACGCGCCCCGCCTCCTCTTGCATTACTTGCCCCACCTGCTCTTAGATCACTGGTCAGTGATGTGAGAGGAGGCGGGGTTGCTGTTAGGCGGGCCCCACCTCCTTTGCTGCAAACGTCGGTATAACCGGCCTCTTCTGCCGCATCTGCAGGCTGTCACTGACACAGCTCCGCAGCTACTGTGAGGGGGAACCTTCTCCCTCAGCTGCTGCTGCTGAGCTATGTCAGTGACAGCCAGCACCCCGAGACGCCATAGTGACCCAGGCGGCCCACACGGCATCAGAGGGATGCCCTGGCCGCCTGGGTCGCTATGGCGATTGTTACGCCACTGAATTGTAAATTTGAAGCAATTCCGAAATACTGCAGCTGCTAAACTTTTTTAGCCGAGGGCTACATAAGCTATTAAGTCTCTCTTCTACTGAGAGATTTAACTACTTGTTGACAGTTGTCTTATTAGCTGCACATTTATTTCTGTTTTCTGCAATTGAGGTGACGCCAGCTAGTAGAACAACTCTATAGCGGAAATAAATGTAATCCCACCATATTTCGCAGTGATATGATGTTCCTGGTTGTAGGAATAACAAGCAAAATGACTAAAAAGTCAGGAGTTGCTCTTTGCTGTTCTGTTATGGGAGCTTAAAGTTATGGGAGCTGTATGTATTTCAGCATTCAGGGCATTTGATACTTTTAATAAGACTCTAAAACGCATCTATTTACTGTTCGTTTTAAGTTAACTGATTGGTTTCACTTTGTTATGTTTGAGATGGTTATTTGAAGGTAATGGTATTGCCCATCTAATAGGGAATTATAGTAGACAATAACTGCTTAAAGGATTACTAAAGGCTGGGCATTTTTTTACCTTAATACATTCTCTGCATTAAGGTACTTTTCTGTGTCCCCCATCTCCCCCACACTTACCTGTCATTGCCGCTTGTCACCACTGCCGAATCTCCGAAGCGATCCTCAATTTCTGAACTTCCTGGTTGCTGGGGAGGAGACTGAGGGCAGAGGAGCCATAGTTTGTCAATCAGGTTGTGGGAGGGAGAGGAGGTGTGTGGCCTGCCGCAGGGCTGGGAGTGTCTATGGATGCACCCAGACACTTGTGGGCATGGCCAGGAAAGAGCATACATGGGTGCCTCCAGTTATCATCAGGCATTAGAAATTACTAAGCAGGGGACATACAGCTATTTTCTACAGCCACAAAGTAGCAGGGGAGATTTAAAAAAAAAAGGAAACCGGTTATTTATTTAGTAAATTGTTGATTGCATATATTAGACTGGGGGGTGGGCAACTATAAATGCCATCATGGCTCTTCCTCTGGGAATCATGCCTAATGCTGTCATGGTTTTGCGATTCCTAAAGCACTTCTATTTCCACAAAAGCTGGAGTGCCAAAGTTGCCCACCCCGGTCTAATTTCTGCAGAGACCAGTTTACAAAGGAAAATATCGCCTATTGACAGCAATAGGAAACTCACTTACTTGTGCCAAGTCAAGCAACTTGTATTTAAAAACTAATGGTATTACTAATGTTTGCTTTCAGATCTCTGTTGCATCTGTTTAATGAAGTTATAGTTTTTAATCACACAGAATTCCCTTTGACTTCCCTGCATGTTAGTGTTTACAATCTGCTCTCCCCTGTTGAATAAATGACTTTTCACACACTGGGAGGTCTGCATCCTTCCCACAGAGTATGTAATGTTCTGTGCCGCAACATCACATCTTTCCTTCTTTTCAATCACTTCTAAGGTATGCCTGTTATTTTGTGTATTTTCAGATTCACTGTGTGTACCAGGATTTGATCCAAATCTTAGCATGATGACTGGGATAACACCAATCAATCCCATGATGGCCAGTATGGGTCTGTTACCACCTCCACCTGCACAGCTGCCGATTGTCAAAGAAATCATCCACTCTAAAAGCTGCACTCTCTTTCCACCTAACCCAAGTGAGTACCAGAGTGGATTTGTGCCTAAATCCAATAAGCATTTATAGTGCAAAAACTTTGGATGATGGGATGAATAGATTAGTATCCTAACTGAATTTGACTTTTATCTTTTATGGTTGCTGGAGTTTCCTGCACATTTTTTGCATTACTCACAATCTTGTTACTTAAGCCTAAGTACTGTATATGTACACATTTATGTTCGGCATTACACATCTGTGTTCAGTACAGTAATTTACCTATAATCCTAATTAGGGATGCACCGATAACGATACTAGTTTTGGCATAGGTGCCGGTACCGAGTATTTGGGCGAGTACACGCCCAAATGCTCCGATACTTACCCCTGATGCAGGAACTTCCGGTCAGGGGGAGACTTCCTCTGACCGGCAGTGTGGCAAGGGAACATTCTTGCCTTCCTGGCCAATCAGGAAGCCAGGAGGTGGGTAATGACCTGCAAACCCCCGACACACTAAAACCATTTGGTGTGGATTTTAATAAAGCTTGAAATATTGGAGATCCTTGGAGTGCGGTCTGTTTGTAAATTGCAGATTTCTGAGTATAAATTTTACAACCTGAATTTTTTACAAGGTGTATTTTTTAAGTAAGTGTCTTCAAAATTTTAGTTAAAGTTGGTGCAGAAAAAAAACAAAACATTTATCACAACCTGTTTGTCCTAGAACAGAAAATTTTGAACCGTTGTCCCTGTAGTTTGTGTGTACCAGGTTTGTTAAACTTTTATCACCACTGCCTCACCTATTTGTCACATACAAAATTAAAAAGTGTAACTTTGTATTTAACATTGCATCATGATATAAACATAATCAAAGCAAAACAATTTGGAGTTTTAGGAGGGATAAATTATGTAGAAGGACCCCTTCCAGTATGCACAATTCTTCACTTTAATGTGCAGAAAGGTTCATCTCGGTTTGCCGAACCCCCTAAATGTAAAGGAAATGTAAAGGAAAGATGACATTGTAAATTACAGCTTGCCCTGTGGGAGAAAAGTGCAGGGGCTACTAGTTAGTCTTCCCAAAAGACACACCTCATCCAAAATGAAAAACCAAGCCTCACTGGCTATAAAAACAATGGTACACAGTACAATACATTATACATTTAAATGGTACTGTGCTAGGGAAGAGGACATTAGTGCTTCTATTATGTATTTTGGCTATTTACACTGCATACCTTTACATTATTATTTAAATCCAGTTAGTGCCTTTCCTGGCTCAGGTGCTACATAAAGGTACCCACAGAAACATGTTTCTCATCAACTTTTTGCTGGTGTTCTTTACAAATGTCAAATTTGTCTGGCAAATCCATTTCTGTTCTATAGGCACAAACATAAACTCCAAATATGCATACTGTCAAACAGATGTTATAAGAAAAAGAAAAAAACATCCAAAGCATGGTCATCTAGCTGCCATCTAATGTCTCTGGCAAGTTTAATTCTGATCTTATGGCCTTGAAGAAAAGAGCTGCTGTCATTATTCAGACACAGGAGTCATGTGAGGATGCTGATAGTGAATGGCTGTGTATCTTTTTGCCACATCTTGCGTTTGATATTTACTGAAAGGAGGCTGGAGAGCTTCTTCTGAGCTCTCAGCATTTTCTGATACCAGAAGATGGTGAGGCGTAAACCTGTCATTAATTGCTCATCTCCTCCTGTTTCAGAAAGCAGAGTTGGTTAAAGATGGCAAAAGGAGTTCCAGCTCCTACATGACACTACTGGACACTACATGCTGATTTTAAACATAAAACCTCGTATCTCTTTTTTTTATGTTCCGCTTTTCCTTGTTTGTATTTATTTGCTATTCTTATTAGCCCACTGTTTAGGCTTAGTTTTTGAACTGAGAGAATGCATATATAAATAGTTTGGATGTGCCCATATGACCCATTTGTTAATAACTCTTGCTTTATTTAATTTTTTTTTTCATTTCTTATCCTGTAGGAAGGTACATATATAAAAATGTGAGTTCAATGAATCCTGTGCTAAGAGCCTGGAATCTATTTTTTTCCCTTGGGCAGAGTGAGATAAAATTATTTCACTCCTTCATTGTCTCTGTTCCTTTTCTCGCTCTTGCTGTATGATATGCAGTCCTGCCAGCTGACTCCATCCGTCACAGTCTGACTGATCCAAGATGGTCTTTCTTCAGACTGAGCTCTGTGGCTCCAGTTTAATATTCATTGATGCAGTCTCTGCTTTTCTCAGGGTGATTTAAGCCCCACTCAAATGCATCAAGTTTAAGTATTCATGAACTACTGTAACCCTTTTATTCCCTATCTGAAATGAGACAAAAGCAGTTCTAGTATTTAATGCTTTGTTTGTGTAAATTGACAGTATACAAAAATAGGTTCTTAGATGCACCTGACAAAATGTGACTAAGGCCCCATGCACAAGGGCAGAAAAAAAATGTGTTTAGAGACTTTTTTACGCCTCTGGGCGCAGATCTATTTCAGCCATGCCTGTTGTGGTGCTTAGATCTGTATTTTACAGCAATGTTCAGGGGTATAAAGTAAAATGCCCCAACCCTTTGTTTAGAAAGGAGCTTACTGGCATAATTTAAGTGTTAAGTGAAATTAATTGTAGTGGTTAGAAGAAATTAATTTGGGTCAGGGCTTATGGCAAAAGAAGATAGCAGACTAATTTGATGTATCATTGCATGATGACTATTCCCCCAGTTTGTTTTTTAATACCAGATTGAACTCTGGGCTCCAATTTAGGCATTGTACAAGTACAATAGCCGTGAAATTGGTTCTGTAGGTTTGGTGTTCACAGATTCCTTGAGACTCGGGTATTAAAGCAAAGCCTTTTATACTATGTTAAGGTACTATAAGCCTTATATTTAAAAAAATGTCTGCTATAGCTACTTTTCCACCATAGAAGTACAACAAATATAGTTTTTTTTATTTTCGTGATAATTTAGTAAAAAATGTCCAACCCAAGTTAATTTTTTGGACTTCTGGAAATTGAACAGCCTATTGAAGTTCACCAGCCACTATGACCTTAGATAACCAGCATTTTTGGGGGATGCCAGAGGTACAAGATTGCCATTATGGACCTCGTGGTGAGGGAGACCAGCAAACCTTACAAATTTGCTTTCCAGAACCCAATAAGTAGGTTTGTTATCAGGGGCGTCCTGAGGCCAGGTGTGAAACGGTCATCATCGCGCGTGACGTCACCTCGCGCATGCGCAATGACGTTATCACGCATTCACGGCCATCTGATTGACGCCTGCCGTGATGGACGGCAGCAGAGAGAGGAGGGGACGTTCACCCGGCAGGATGAGGTATGCCGCTGGGTCCCCTCCTCTCTCCTGACACTGTCTGGCTCTCAGTCCATGACCGAGTGCCCGACTTTTTAGAAGGGGTGACACCAAAATTACTGTTAGTCATTTTGGTGTCACCCCTCCAATGTTGTCACCCGAGTACAGGCCACACCCCCCTTGTGTGTCACTGTTTGTTATGCAGAACCTTATTGGTTTTCTTAAGAGCCCATTCACACATACTGTGGTGACCTGCATTTTACTGCACTGGATCAATGCAGGTCACTTCAAGTACACATAGAAAACAATAGTTTTTTATGTGTTCTATTCACACCACAATTCGGGTGTGATGGACAGAGCGTTGCATTGCAATAAAATGCAAACATGCTGCATTTTATCACAGACAGGGTAGTGTGAACGAGTCCTCAGAGCTCATCTGAGCTGGCCATATATTGTCCTTTTTTTTTTTTTTTCCTTCATCCCGCAGGCTGAACGAAAACAATGAAACAGATTTTTCCATCAATGCTTACGAGCATTGATCAGGGAATCCTCTGCTGTCTCTTGTGTATTCTGACAACAGCCACTGGCCACTGTCAGAATACTCAAGTAACTTCCGGTTCCGGCACCCATGTGAGTGGCAGCAGGGAGACGGCGCTCCCGTTACGGCATCCTAATTGTATAAAAAAACGGCTACTCACCTCGTGACAGTTACTCTACTGAGCCAGCAGAGTGTCCGGTGCCCGGGGATGGACCGATTCCTGGCGTCTGCACGATCCAGATCGAGATCATGATCACTTAATCGGTCTCGGGCGCTCACTCGGGAGTCACGTGTAGCCAAGATGGCGGCGGCCCCAGATACTTCCCCACAAAGAAGCGTGTCTCCGGCCTCTGAGGTGCAGGGCCTGGATGAGGACAGCACACATGCTAAAATAGCAGCTGCGGTAGCCAAATTACTGAGACCGACTATCACTGAGGCGGTGGAGACAGCCATTCAGCACAGCATGGGCCAAATCAGGAAGGATCTGTCAGCACAGGCACAAGCACTTAAAGAAGCAGAACACCGCATCTCCTCACTGGAGGACGACTTGCTGGAAGCTCAATCAAAGCTGATCACGTGTGACACTACCTCACGGACGATGCAAGATAAGATAGAAAATCTTGCAAATCTTGCAAACCTTGAAAATCGTTCTCGCCCCAACAACTTGAGGTTAGTGGGCCTTCCTGAGTCATACAAGCCGAACGAATTGCTCACGTTGTGCGCATCCACTATCCCGTCGTTGCTAGGGGTCTCTGCAGCCTGCACAGCGGAGAGGGCTCACCGCCTGGGGCAGCCAAAAGACAACACCAAGGCACCGAGACCGGTTATCGTCAGGTACCTTAACTACGCCGACAGGCTCCAGATCCTACAAAAATATAGAGCTGCTAAATCTCTTCAAGTTGATGGGAATAAAGTACTACTATTCGCAGATTACTCGGCGGAAGTGGCGAAACAGAGGAAATCTTTCAGTGAGGTATGCTCCAACTTATATCGCCAGCGGATCAAATTCACACTGGCCTATCCGGCCGTCCTGCATCTTACCACGGCTGAAGGTCGCAACTATTCATTCCGGGATCCAGATGAAGCACTACAATTCCTTAATCAGATGGATGCTACAAATACTGGGTCTCCCTCCAAATCTCCCTTGCCTCCACGTTCGCCACGCAAATCCACCAAAATACCAAAGCGGGTGATGGGCACC